CTTTAAATCTGTCAAACTTCTTTCCTAAAATACCTCAACAAACAAACAAGTAATTCCTTCTTGTCAAAACAAGTAATTCTTGCCAAATGACTCCTAAAATACCTCAGCAAAATGACTCCTAAAACAAACCAACCGATAATTCATTTCAACCAAAAACAAAGTAACCAACAAGTAATTGGTTTATGCCAAAACAAAGTAACTCCTTGCCAAAACAAAATAATAAGAATGGCTCCTAAAACACGAGTCCCACCTCTCCTTAAATTTCTCACAACTTCTCTCTTAAAATACAACAACAAACCACCCACACATAATTTCTTCCTGCCAAAACGTGACTCTTAAAATCAAAACATGACTCCTAAAATACCTCACCAAATGACTCCTAAAATACCTCAGCAAACCAATTCCTTTCCACTAAAAACAAACAGAAAACTAAAATGACCTACAGATTTGAGCTGTGGGGATGTCTTGTAGATGGAAGAATTTGTCAAAATAGGTTAGTTAGATCTTATTTTCTTTTATAGATAGGAATCAATTGAAATGGGTCAAAAGTAACTTTGAACAAAATAAAAAATAAAAAATAAATCCATTGAAATTGGCCAAAGTAACTTTTGAACAAAAGAAAAAATAATAATAATAACTTTGAACAAAATATAAAAATAAAAATAAAAATAAAATCCATTGAAATTGGCCAAAGTAACTTTGAACCAAAAAAAAATAATAATAAAATAAAATAGAGAGAAGAAAAGAAAAAAATCTAGAAAATTGTTTAACTCATTTTAAATGGTTGGTATGGAAATAATATTATAACAAACAATATTTGGATGGTATGATCAAAGAAGAAAGAAATAATATTGGTGAGAACAAATTCGAAGAACGAAAGCAAGTAAATTTGGAGCTGATAGAACTTTGGCTAAGGCTAACCATGTAAGTAGCCTTACTATCGGCCCGGTCAGACGACTTGTCTTATGTATGATGATACGTGTCTAGTGGCCCTTGCACGTGTCATTTATGCTTTATGTTATATGCTGATGTGTTGATGTTATATGATGATGTCATCACGTCACATGATGACATTAAATGATTATGTGACGATGTTATATGATGATGTGATGAAGTTATACGATAACATGGTGAAGTTAAATGATGATGTGGTGGCGTTATATAATGATGTGAAGATATTATATGATGACGTTAAGTGATGATGTGGAGACGTTAAAAGATGATGTGATGATGTTATATGATGACGTGATGATGTTAAATGATGATGTGATGATGTTATATGATAATGTGAAGACGTTAAAAGATGATGTGATCATGTTATATGATGACGTGATGACATTAAATGATGATGTGACCATGTTATATGATGTTGTAAAGACGTTAAAAGATGATGTGATTATGTTATATGATGACATGATGACGCTAAATGATGATTTGATCGCGTTATATGATGATGTGAAGACATTAAAAGATGATGTGATGATGTTATATGATGATGTGATGACACTAAAGGTTGATGTGATGATGTGATTATGTACATGATGTTGACATGACGATGATGTTGCATGATAACAAGATGATGTGAGACGTATGATGATACAATGACTTCATATGATGATGTTTCATATTAAGATGATGTGCATGTATTAAATATCACGCTGTACTATGACGATGAGTTTTCAAAGACGTAACTCTAGTTAATGTTATTGATGATGAATGTATAGAGGCCAATGCTTGCATGTTATTTAAAGTATTGTGTGAATGATTTATAGAGTAGTGTTATAAAGATGATTTAAAGATGAAAACTACAGGGACTTCAGGCATTTTCTGTGTTCATATACATAGAGATACTTCCCCAATGATGATGATGAGTATGGACGCGTACATTATGATAATAATAATGATCATGCCTCGCATGACACTCGAGGTCTGCTAACCTTTGGACGTCGCTATGGACAGCTAACTCAACTATGATGGGTCTAGAGGGGGTGTAAACTGTCTGGAGATCTACACTCGCACGTGTGGGTCGTGTGTAAGAAAGTACTACACATCCAACTTTGTTTGGACTGGAGGCCACCCTTATGATGGTTTTAAATGATAGGTCCTTAAATCATGAGTTGGATGTGTTTGTGTTCCTTGACCCTAATAGTGGGGTCACTTGCTAAGTATTTTTTAAAATACACAAGTCATGTGCTACTACTTTTTCAGGTAAAGGCCAGGCGGGTACGATTGATGACAACATCGCAATTCAAGATCATGACACATGCATAAGGTAGCTATACTTGTTTTCTTAGACTTAAGTTAGAATATAGTCTTTTTAATTTTAACGTTATTTATTGTATATAGATTTTCATTGTGTCATTTACAAAATGCTTTTCGACCATGTATGTCCATGGCAGTGTTTTAAGATGAAGTTTATGTTTTATGATGAAATTTTAAATGTTTAATTATGCATATGAGAATAGATGATGACGGTAGCGACTCTAGGTAAGTAGAAATTTAGGATCGTTACAGTTGGTAATCAGAGCTTTAAGTTATAGATTCTATAGACTAGCCTACGAGATAGGCTTGGCATGTTCCATGGTCCCACCGTCGATGCGCCGTTACCGTTAGGTATGTCTTGCATAAGATAAGAAAAAAGGAAATGTTATTGATTTCTTATGCTATGATCACTTACCTATAACTTGCATATAATTTTATAGTTTTAATTATATTATTGAGTGTAGTATATTGATTAACCTTGTTGTGTGCTTATTAATATGTTATGTTTCCAAATTGTATATTTACGATGATATGTAATATGATGTGAGATGTGTAGTAAGTAGTAGAGTTAAGAAAGATTATGATAAGGGACTAAATCAAAGGTAGGTGTAAAATGACTAAAATGCTCATGTAATTATGTATCATTGGCTTATGACCAAAATGACCTCTAAATGACATGAAATTTAAGGAGGAGCCTTTTGTCATGGTTTATAGGAATTATATAAAGTTACAAGGTCATTGGAATACATTGAGGAATTAAACCAAGATTTGGGGTGGTAAATGACCAAAATACCCTTGTGAGAATTTATATAAGACTCCTTTATTATATTAAGGGTAAGTATACAAGATTTTAAGGGGATTAAGACAACTTTAGAGTGTGAACCAAGAGGAAAAGTACGAAACTACCTCTTAAGACATTTGATAAGAAATTGAGGTTTTTATGAATACCAAGTAACATACAAGTCAACACTACCACCGTCCCTCTTTGCAATGCATAACATATGCCACATATCTATGCTTCATAAATACTAGACTCACTCGATGTACGTTCTAGACTACGAACCTTTTTAAATAGACAAGGACCCAAGTTATTTTGAGATTAAAGCGCTTTTGAGGGCGAAAGTTTTTTTAGAGGTATATTGTAACGATCATAAATTTTCACATACTCAAAGTCGCTACTAACGTCTTATGTTTATCTATAATGCTGAAATATAACTCTTACATGAACATTATTTATAACGTAAACTTCGAAAAACGCTTAAAACAACTTCTTCTCTGAAAAACACAACGATGGTCTTACGTGTTCAAATACGAAATACTAAAATTTAGAGAACTTAAAAGCAATACAAAAAAATTTAAAACGATTAAATGCATAACAACCTATTTTAACCTAAAACTAGAAATTTAAATATGAATCTACCCTATGCACATGCCACAGTCTCTAATGCCGCCATCCTCCGTACAAATGCGCCTTGCCTCTACCTGAAAAATGATGTGGCACATGACCTGAGTATGTCAAAGAATACTCAGTATGTGGCCCCACTATAAGGGTGCATGCAAATGCAAACAAATGCAATCATGATTTAGGGACCTATCTCTAACATCATAGGAGTGGCCTCTAGTCTCGAACAAATTGGATGTATAGTACTTCCCTACACATGACTCACACATGCGAGTGTGAATCCCCACGGCGCTAGCACACCCCCTGAACCCTCTGGTCAAGCTAATCTATAGCGACGTTCGGAGGTCAACGGAACCCCATACTGTTATGTGCCTCATGAACACCCTCATCATCATATAGTGTGTTTTCGCACTCATCATCATGTTGTGTGCATTCGCACTCATCATCATACTTTGTGCTTTCGCACTCATCATCATATTGTGCGCGTCCGCACTCCTCATCTTTAGGGAAGTAGCCCTATGCTTATGAACATACAATATGCATGAGGTCCCTCTAAATTCATTGTAATGTCTCTTCTGACAAAACCCTCTTATCTCATCTCTTTGTTACTCTAGGTAATACATACTTGTGGATATTTATATTAATATCATTTTCATGCTCTTAGGGTTGTGTCCTATGTCGATCTAACGACATGATGCAATATGGCACTCATCATCATATAGCATGCTCAATATGAAAAATATCATCATATTAAGGTAAACATCATGCAATCATCATACTCATCATATTGTCATAAAGTGCATCAAGCATATCAAGTACGTCATTCATCGAAATATATATACTACGCCCATCATCAAGCATCATACTCATCATATTGTCATAAAGTGCATCAAGCATATCAAGTACGTCATTCATCGAAATATATATACTAGCACATCATCAAGCATCATAACTCATACATCATCATATACCCATATGACATCATACGAAACAGCTCATAAAGCATCATAACTCATACAATTTTTAGCCTATCCTATAGTAAGGTCACTTACTTGGTTGGCCTTACCCGAAGTATTACCTAATTTAATTAACTTAAGTTCCCGTTCTTCAAGATCTGCTTCAAAGGTTGTCCGGTGTAATAACTCGTACAGCTGGTAATAAATGAGAAAAAAAAATTGGTTGTGCCCATATTTTGGATAAAGAAAAAAGAAAAAAATAATAATAATAAATATAATGACAAAGGAATATGAAAAGGCAGAAAAGGAGGCTCACAGAAAGAGGGTAGGTCTGCCACCTACCCCAATTTCCTCTCAATTTCGGTTGGTGAGAGGCAAAGATGTTTAAATTAGGGAGAGGGGGTTTGAAGGAAGGGAGGTAAACGTCAACTATTTTATTGGAATCAAGACAATGCCACAAGAGAAACTACCAACGAAGGAGCTCGCAATGTTAAGAATCCACCATCACCACCACGATGCACATCAGGGAGAAACATGAGGTCATAAGCTTGCAAGTAAACAAAGTTGGACGAACAAGAGCCGAAGAAGAGGGAAGAAGGAACGTTGGCAAGTGACGAAGAAGTCGAAGAAGAGGAGGAGAGTCGCGGGGAGGAAGGATCTGACCCACTGGATTGAACCGACCGTTGGACCGAACCGACCCACTGGACCGAATCGACCTGCCAACCCATCACCCAACCCTACATGCCTAGTAACTTGAAAGCCAAAACTGGCCTGACCCGACCCATTTAGTTGACTCTGATCCACTATCTAGACCCAATCCAAAGGTAAGCATGACCCAAGATCTAGAGACCCAGTTCTCGCAAATTTCACCATTTTGACTTGATTTCTACCCCCAAATTTCTACGGTTGTGATATCTTTTCTTAACGTAGGACTAAATTGAGGATTTCAAAGAAATTGGAAATTCTTGAAGACCCGAAACAAGCTCAAAAAGTCTACAACAAGTAACCACATGGAGCAAGTTTATAAGAAATTCTTGTAGGAGCCTATTTGGGATGTGGGCATATGATCTAGTAGCATATTTAGGGATTGGTTAGGTGTAGGTCCTTGAGAATTGTACTTCAATGACGAGAATGGTTATACCTTGATTTTTGTTAGGGTTAAATAGCTTCCGCTTACATGAATGTGAAATCTCTAATAGGCGTTTGGATTTATGTGCTTCCTAGTATGTTAAAGTAGGTTGTTATTACTTGATTAGCATGGTGAGTATTGTTGTATGCCTTGATACTTTGTTCCGCTTGGTGTTTGGATAACCCATTATTGCCCATTTGTGAGTTGGACCATTTGCAATGTGCTAGATAACGTGAATTGTGAATTTCATGGACTATGAGTTACCATTTTTTTTGCTGTCACCTATAGGGGATATGGGTGGTCATAGTAAGTATACTATTGTAGTACCACGTCAAGGGTGCCTAGTGGGGAGAGTCCTGACCTTTTTACTGATTCAGCCCGAGTGGCGTAGTGACAGGTAGCTTACTATTATAGCCTGGAAAGGCAAAGTAACAAGTAGTTACGGTTCCTAAGACAGATAATTTTTACTGATCTCAACCCGACAGGGGTGTAAGACAGGTAGTTTACTGACTTGGCCCGGTGAGGCGTAGTGACAGGTAGTTACTGATCTCAGGAACAGGTAGTTGATGTCAGGCACCACCAGTGAGAACCCTCTGATTTTGAGCTCAATAAGTAGATGGTAATATGGAATCACTACAAGGGGAGTAAAATTCGGATTACCTTGTTGATCGAATATCGCAAGAACACTTGTTTGAGATTCGAATCACTCCACAAACAAGATCGATCATGTATAGCTTGAATGATTCTTGTTGATCAAATATCTCAAGGCAAGAACATTTGTTTGAGATTCGAATCACTCCACAAGCAAGATTGATCATGTCAAGCTTGAATGATTCTACATGCAACCTAAACTACATAGAATTGCAAAGAAACTTAGTCATTGGCTAAAGAAAGCACAAATGTTTCTTTTACTATATTTTCCAAGTCTATCTTACAAAGATAACATACATGACATTATATAGCCTCAAAATGAAAACTCTTAACCTAACACGAGGCTTTCTAAGAGTTGTAAATTTCATGCTTTATGACCATAATTATACTTTATGGCCATAATTATACTTTATGGCCATAATTAGCGTAAATAAGCCTTAAAATACATTATAGAATACCAACACTAAATTACTCTAAGTTATGATCCACAAAAAATTTATAACAATGAAGCTTCATTCTTCTTCAACTTAGCATGAATTGAAATATTTTTTTTAATAATTTTAACAACATTTTCTTCCCATATTCATTGAAGTATATTGTATGATTGATGTTTCTTGGTTCATATCAGATGGGTATGAAAAATCCAAATCAATAAGAATCTATAGGGTCTCCTCTTGAGGCCGCAGTAGATTTTGTTAGAGACAGCTCCGAGCACATAGCCTAAGATTCCGAGAATAGGATTAAGTCCGACAAGAGCCTACAGGTAGGTCGCTTACAGAGTATTTTTATACTCATCTCATGTTGTTTTTATTTTTTAGGTGTTAAGTAGACCGATATAGATGGCTGGAACGTGCGGAGCTGTGCGGTTGCAGAGGAGACCCTTACATCGTGTCCTCTGTTTTCCTCTGTTTTTCTTTTATTCTGTTCATTTGTTTCCTCCGTTTTTTCTTTTTTTTTTTTATTCACCATTTTCTATGACCAATTTTAATCCGATTGTTATTTCTTTTTCATAATTTTACGTTGGATCCTGATTTTACTAATAAAATGATAGCAAAAATTTAAATAATTAAAATAGGATAAAAGAGAAGGAATATCTAACCTAGGGATGAACTCTTTTATCTCTTTCATCCTATTGAATCTATTTAAGCTCTTATATTTTTCTTTTTCTCTCTACAAGTAAATTTTATGATTTTTTCTTTTGTATTTCATTTTGGCAACACCTCTCTCATGGAAATTACCATTTTTTGTTTTCTTTTTTAGCATAATTGTCTCGAGGAGGTGTTGAGGAGAGATATCTAGAGGAAGGAGTTGAGTCCGAATGGAACAGAGATGGTATCCGTTACAATTTTATTATTATTTATTTATTTATTCTATTTTATTTTTACGCTGTTGTTGTTACATATATGATGTAACAACCATAAAATAATAATTATAAAAAAGTAACAGATTTCCAACCTTGAAAAACAAACCGAAAACAAAAATGGCTTGCACATTTATATGGAGGGAAGAACGTCTCATTGAAGAATTTGTCACATTAGGTTAGTTAGACAAGTTTTTTCTTTTATACTGATTTGGTTCTCGATCTTGTTGCTTTTATTTAGATTTTAGTTATAAATTAAATAACAATTATGTACATGTTCTAGGAATTGTGTCATGATACATCCATTTTTAGAAAAGAAAAAAATAAGAATCAATTCAAATTGGCCAAATTACCTCTATGTGTGTTTTTTTTTTAAACAAAAAAAAAAGGAAAAACATAGTAAGCTGTTAAACTGCTTTTAAATGGTTGGTATGAAAATAATATTATAAACAACAATATTTGGATTGTATGATCAAAGTGTTAGGATCGATATCAGTCGTTAGCTCTGATACCAGTTGTTAGGATCGCACAACAACGCACACGCTCGATCTAGATTAACACAAAGAATGGGATAGAGAAAAGTGCAAGGAGAACTCTGGCTAAAAGAATTTTTTTTATTGATGACTTCAATCATGTACAACAAGAGAGTACAACATTTTCAAAGCTCTACCGGACCAGATATATATATGGTTTAGTTTACTATATATAGCTTTACCAGATTTAGCCATCTACTATATATAGCTATTTACCGTATATAGTTTTACCGGATATAACCGTTGACCAAGCTATAAATAAGCATCAAGCTCCATAACCTAACAATTCTCCCACTTGAAGACTGATCTAGTCAATCAGGCTCCATAACCTAACAATTCTCCCACTTGAAGACTGATCTAGTCAACCAAGAATTTCACTCTCAAACGACCATGAGCATCTTCACTGCACCATACCAATTGAGATTTTACACAACCTCAATATTCCAACATCAACACATTTTGTCAACATGTTTGCTGGATTCTTTGCACCCTCTATCTTCTCCAAACACGTCACCATCTTCAACTAACCTCCGAGTGAAATGGTATCGCCTTCTGTGTTTTGAATGATAGACTGGGTTCCTCGCCAACAACATGAGTCTCAGGAATTTCTTGAGTATCTACTACAACATTACTATGGGAATCTTTCAACAACTCAAGCTCAACCCCACTTGCTTCACCTCTGGTTTCTCAGCAAGAGTCTCAGGAGTTTCTTGAGTATCCGCTGCAACATCACTATGTGAATCTTTGAGCAACTCAACCTCAACTCCCACTTGCTTCACCTCT